GTGGCGGCAACCCAGCCGCCACTACTGGCTGCACCCGCCACGACGCTGCCAGGCCCCTTCTTGTTCACCGACTCCTCCACCAGGGCCGCCAATTGCGAAGTCTGCCGTTGCAANCGCCACCGCCAAGCGGCAGCGGAGGCGCTTGCTTGTTGGCCTCCCGTGGCGGCAACCCAGCCGCCACTACTGGCTGCACCCGCCACGACGCTGCCAGGCCCCTTCTTGTTCACCGACTCCTCCACCAGGGCCGCCAATTGCGAAGTCTGCCGTTGCAAACTTGCAAGCTCTGCATCACGGCGCTCCTCCACCGGCGAGCGGATCTGTTCTCCGCTCGCGGCAGTGGGCACCTCATCTCCGGCAGAGCTCATGACGATGTGGCTTCCCTCGAGGGGCAAAAACTACTCTAGAGTCTTTGCGTCCTACGCCACTTGTTTATCGGGTGACATTTGTTTGGTGATGTATTAACATCACGAGAGGTAGACGACCGTCCTTCACACGGACGAAAGAGGGAGTGCTCAAACAGCGGCTCCCACATCAAGCCCCGTGAATCATCGCGGTGCCCCCTATCAAACGGCAATCTTACCAGTCNTGCATCACGGCGCTCCTCCACCGGCGAGCGGATCTGTTCTCCGCTCGCGGCAGTGGGCACCTCATCTCCGGCAGAGCTCATGACGATGTGGCTTCCCTCGAGGGGCAAAAACTACTCTAGAGTCTTTGCGTCCTACGCCACTTGTTTATCGGGTGACATTTGTTTGGTGATGTATTAACATCACGAGAGGTAGACGACCGTCCTTCACACGGACGAAAGAGGGAGTGCTCAAAGAGCGGCTCCCACAGCAAGGAGGGGCCCCGTGAATCATCGCGGTGCCCCCTATCAAACGGCAATCTTACCAGTCTGCGTGACACCAAATCATCCAGCACATGTATCCAACACCAATCAATGTTCGCAGACTCACGAACAAGTCGTGTTGGCAATCGCATCTAGCGCATTGTGCATTTTTCGAATTTCGGCCCCCTTCCAGGGACCTTGATCTTTACCCGCTGGCACTGACGTCTCTTAATTGGTCAGGCGGTTAGCGCGGTCGATGCAAAAAAAAAAAAAATACACGCTCTGTTTTCTGCCTCGAAAACGTTCACAAGTCTCTGTCACACCGCTAGCTGCTGTAGCTGCTGTAGCTGGCTGTTGAGATTGACCTCGCCGAGGCTCCAAGAAGAAGATCCCACCTTGGAGGTTGGGCCACACGGTCGATGCCCCTTGCACGAGGAGGATCGTAACGGTTGTCCCGGCCAAGGTAGCCTCGCCCGGGATGTCCTCACAGTAGGTTGTCCCGGCCAAGGTATGTACAGCAGTAGGTCCGTCACGGAACGGAACGGACGAGCTTGGATACCCGGCATCGCGAAGGCGAGGCGAGGCGCGGACGAAACATAGCAGCACCTTGGATCTTGTGCCGGACAATTGGCCACACCCTATATTTCGGCTGGGGTCAGTCTCAAGAACACCACACCGGTACGTGAATGCTCGGTTTTAGGTGCGACGAATGGCGTTGTGAGAGCAGGGTCGCCAGAGGTGACCACACGGCAGGTATTGACCCCGGGAAGAGCTATTATGTTATAGAAATCCGTGTCAGATCACGTCTGCTTTACCGGTAACCTCCAGCCACTAACCACAAACGTCAAACCGACCCGAACTTCTTCGCATAATCGTTGAAGCTCTCGCAGATGCTGTTGTCAGCTTTTTCTGGCGCTGTATATCGGTGAGTGGAATTCGTTTGCATGCGTCGTGGTTGGGGCAACATCAGTACCGTTGTCATCTAGCTGGAGTTGTTTCGTTCGATGCGCAACACTACTTCAACACTACTTTCTCTGAGAAAGTTTGTAGTAATCATGATTACCTGCCGCGAGAGATCCCCTGCCCACCAAAGCCCGACAGGTACGAACCCTCCCTTTGCCGGTCTCGTGCAAGTCTTTACACTACAGTAGTCCTAGAACAGGATGCTGGGAAATGACTCTTGCTGATCGAAAGCAAACCCACCTGAACAACACCCCGGGTACGTTACACTGTTTTCGACAGGGAGTTCTAGACTGGTGCTGTATGGACGTAATTTCTACTTCAGTTTGGCGCAGGATTCTGTACTCTCCTCGCTGCTGTTCCATGCGGAACGATGATGCAATGTATGTAGTTTACTGCGACGGTCAATCACGAGAGGTGGCGCGTGTGGGATTTACGTCCCAACAATGGGCAATAACGAACATATATTTGTGTGGGCAAAATGAAACAACTATTGGCGCAGTGTCGACGAAACCAAGTAGAGCAGGCAGCTACATGTACACGTTGTTCGTGTGTATGGATACGGACTGGTTAGATCTACCGGCAACAACCGAGGGCACGCAGATGGGGCATATGTACACCTTGAAATGGTGGCATGTGCGGGGACCCCTCGAACTCCAAAGATGGCTTCACTTCCTACTTCCCTTGCGTGTCTAATACAAGAAATAAAACGCCTCCCCCTTCCAAGTAAAGGACATAGGCCATACGAACACACTAGTGTCAGTCCCTCGAGGGAGAGTCCATTAGGAATGTCAAGTCGCAAAGATGGGGGTGACTCCTCCAGCGACTCTGCGGCGGAAGACCGAAAGAGGTCAAGAGAAGTGCTCGTGGCCCTGAGGACGCAAGTTAGCTCGCTGACGGATCAGATGAGCCAGCTAACGTCGCTAGTGGAAGATACATTGAAGGAAAGCAAGAAGGAGGAGCCAGCTGGCACCATGGAGGGTGCCGCTGATCGCGGTGATGCTAGGGAGAGCGCCGCCGCGGAGTCCACGGACGCCGAAGGAGGGGCACCGTGGACCGGGAGTGCGCAGGACGAGAGGTACCTGCGCGAACCTGTTCGAGAGTCTGGCCCGTCAGGGCGACACAGCGGCGAAGCAGGGGGCTTTGTCCCCCAAGAGGTGAGAGTAGCCGCTGCTCACAACCAAGATTATAGTAGTGCCATGGGAGATGGTGGTGCTGCTGTTGGCTTTGGATACGGAGCCACAACCCCAGCGACGGGGTACCAAAGTGTGCGGTACACTTCTCCTCCGTTCAGCGGGAAATCGAAAGATTTCAACGAATGGCTAAATGATTTCCGCATGGCAGCTAACGGCGCAAACCTGTTGGAGGAACAATTTGAAGAGAGCGGAAGCTTGGAGATCCCCGTCAACAGCAGAAAGAGCAAGTTTTCGCTGTCACAGCAGTACCGGAGCGAGCAAGTAGAGCTCGCATTCCACGCGTGGAACTTCCTGTCTCACGCGTTGAAAGAAAAAGATCGGAAAATCATGAAGAGGGCAGAGACGCCCCAGGGAGCTCTTCGTGAGCTCAAGACCATACACGACCCTGAATCATCTGTACAGCCGTCAGAGGACCTCAAGTCCCTGACGTCGACCAAGATCTCTAGAGGTGAAAACCCCCAAAACGCCCTCAATGAGATGCTCCAAACCGCAAAGTCCTTAACCAAGAAAAGGACTAACTGTCAACGAAACGTTCGTCCTTCACCTCTTCTTGGATGCCNACCTGAATCATCTGTACATCCGTCAGAGAACCTCAAGTCCCTGACGTCGACCAAGATCTCTAGAGGTGAAAACCCCCAAAACGCCCTAAATGAGATGCTCCAAACCGCAAAGTCCTTAACCGAGAAAGGACTAACTGTCAACGAAACGTTCGTCCTTCACCTCTTCTTGGATGCCCTTTCGGACGAGTATGCCATGACAAAGCACAACCTGCGACACGCGAAGGAGTTGACGCGCACCGGTATGCTAAAGGAAGTAATGATCGAATACAAGGCGATCAAGGACAAGCTGGAGCAGGGGAAAGGAAAAGGGGCGAAGGGCGCAGAGCAAGCGTACTTCGCCGACGGTGAGGGCCGCAGGGAGCGGTACTCAAGTAGGAGTCAGGGGCAAGGTCGTGGTCGTGGCGGCGGCCGTGGCCGCAGCAGCAGTCGTGGCCGCGGCGGAGGCGGTCGCGGCGGCGGCGGCGGCGGTCGCGGCGGCCGCTCAGGCGGATCCGGAGGAGTCGAGGAGAGCAAGGGAAGCAGCAGTGGAGGCGCCGATGGCGGCGGTGGCGGGGACTATAAGTTCCCGGGCCGGTGCTTTAGGTGTGGACATCGTGGACATCAAGCGATCGGCTGCACTACCAACGAGAAGGACTTCGTGCCGTGGTGTGCGCGCTGCGAGGGGTGGGGCCACACCAAAGAAAAGTGCGCGACGGAGGAGGCCGTTCTAGCGCAAGTGGTGGCGCATGAGAGCGACGTGGACTCCGTGGAAGACCAGGCGTTTTGTGCCGTGAGCAGTTAAGAAGTTGTTTCGCGTGTATCTCGACTTGGGGGGAAAGATGAAAAACAGGAGCATTGGTGGCAACTGGTACACACTGATCATCAGAGAATATTTCTCCCGCTNGATCACGGCGGAGCAGCAGGGAGTGCAGCTGACGGATGGACCGCTGCTATCCTGACTTGGCTGTTCGATGTCCAAGGGACAGGTGAAACCCGTCCAGAAGAGCACGAGCACACGCGCAGTTAAGAAGTTGTTTCGCGTGTATCTCGACTTGGGGGGAAAGATGAAAAACAGGAGCATTGGTGGCAACTGGTACACACTGATCATCAGAGAATATTTCTCCCGCTGGACGCGTGTTTTCTTCTTGAAACACAAGTCTGACGCAGCGGTTGGGTTTGAGAAGTTCCTGGCGGACTACCGAACGAACGGGGTTCCGTGTGAGATGTATATCGCACGTACCGACGGTGGCGTCGAGTTCCAGGGGCAGTTTGTGGAAGTTTGCCGCAGACACGGCATCAAACAAGAGTTCACCCCCCCCCACACCCCAAAATACAACGGTGTAGCGGAGAAAGCGCTAGGGTTGATCACTGATGCCGCGCTTGCGTCACGCATCCAAGCGACGCAACTGTTCCCCGACGCACCGAACCACCCCGGGTTGTGGGCCGAGGCCATTTCGTGTGCATGCCATCAGCTGAACTGCACCGCCACTAAATCAAACGAGGGAGACAAATCCGCCTACGAGATGTTCCACGACTCCCCACCGCCTGTCGGGTCTACATACCCGTTTCTCAATCCAGCCGTGTTCGAGTCGAGAAGAAAAGCAAAGTCGCAACCCAAGGGCGAAAAAGGATGGTACCTTGGTCCTGCCCACAATCACCCCCGTGACTGCGTTCGCATGCCAACCGAAGCTGGATCTGTAATCACCACCCGCAATTTCACCTGGCGCCACGTGCCCGCTGCATCGCCCGCTCCCCCGCAGCTGCTACCTCTCGCAGATGACGAGGAGGGCGGGGAGGGCGAAAGCAGAGCGGATGCATCATGCCAAGGTCGGGGGGGGGAGAGAGACTCAGAGAGTGAGTCCAACCTCGACGTGATGGAGGCTCGTGGGCCAGGGCAAGCGACGCCGTTTGTGTGCGAGGAGGCGCCGACGGCACCCGGCAACGGGATTCCGGGAGACGGAGGCAGCGTTCCCCCGTCGCCCCCTTCGGGAAGGGGCGACTTCGGCGGAGGCAGTGACAGCCCCACCGACAGCAGCAGCAGCAGCAGCAGCAGCAGCAGCAGCAGCAGCAGCAGTGACGCCGGCGGTGCCGGCGGCCCGGGCGGCGAAGAGTCCGGCGACCCAGGTGGGGACGGCGGTAGCGATGGTGATCCCGGCGACTCCGAGAACCTCGAGGAATTGAAGTATGATCTAACCGACGACCGCTACCCCCGCGGGCTTGAAAGGAAGAAACTCCTCTGGGGCGCCTCGAACGGTGGCCCGCTGCGCCATGGGCTTGAGAGCGGCCGCACGCGGAAGCAGACCCGGGAGATGCAAGGTGCCGGGGAGATGCCTGGGCCCGGAGAAACACCGGAACCGGAAGAGGCATTGCTGGCGACCATCCTGGAAACTGGCGGGACGGGGATTGTTGAGGACTACATCTGCAACTCGCTTGTGAAGGAGCAGTGGGACGAGGAGCAGACACGCCGTATGGAGGAGATGTACAGGCGCGAGATGCAGGAGGTGTTGGGCCCGGATCAGCAGGCGTTCGGGGCCGAGGTCGACGCCAGCGGGTCTTCGCAACAACTCCCAGA